GTACAGGTCGTTCAGTTTATTTTGAAATGATTTCGATCGATTTTTTCTTCGTCAATGACTTATCGAGATCCGATGATTTTCGTATCAGTCTACCTCACATACATTGAACATGTTATTATGATATTCTTAGTTTGGATAAACAAATGTCTGGTAATGAAACATCTAATGATATCAAAGGGTACGTCAAATATCTTTTGACAGAATAATATTCGTATTTGATAGAATAACGCTTACACCATATTCGTATTTAGTGAAACAGGAACAGTTATCTGAAATACGTTTGTATGTATCAAAAAGTACCATTAGGTATGTCTCTAAAAAGGTTGAAAAACAGCCTCAATCAGCTTTATTCAACAATGGAAATCCAAAATTTTATCGTTCATGTCATGTGACAACGCGTACAATTGGTTCGTCGTAATATATCATATATAGATGAAAAACATTTTTCTGCTATTTAGTTAATTGTTACCAGATATCGTATTAGTGTTGCTACGACTATTCCTATTATTCTTGATATAAATCATGCAAAAGAACGTAAAGAAAAACTTATTAGATCGTTGATATTCATCTATCATTGAAAAAGAAACGATCTTAGTGCTCAGGGCGTGTGATATCGATTACGCGATATGGCCTACAAAATGATATGCGAACCGATCAGGCACGTAATTGTGGCTATGTTTCAAACTTTTTGGAGACTTGCCTAATGGTACTTTTTGATACATACAAACGTATTTCAGATAAATGTTCCTGTTTCACTAAATATGACTATTATTCTGTCAAAAGATATTTGACGTACCCTTCGATGTCATTAGATGTTTCATTACCAGACATTTGTTTATCCAAACTAAGAATATCATAATAACATGTGCAATGTATGTGAGGTAGACTGATATGAAAATCATCGGATCTCGATAAGTCATTGACGAAGAAAAAATCGATCGAAATCGTTTCAAAATAAACTGAACGACCTGCAAAATGAATTATTTATACTTAAAAAAAGATAAATTGGTCATTTATATTTAAGAAATAAATATAAATAAATGAGAAAAAAATTTATCTTTCTTTTATAATAGTAAATGATTGATTTATATTTATTTCGTAGAATATTTTATAAGGTAGAAATATATAAAATATTCTACGAAATAAATATAAATCAATCATTTACTATTATAAAAGAAAGATAAATTTTTTTCTCATTTATGTATATTTATTTTTTAAATATAAGTGACCAATTTATCTTTCGTTTTCTCGTATAAATGATTCATTTACATTTATCCATTATTATAAATGAACAATAAAATCAATGTAACAACCCTAATAATGAATGAATGAATGAACGTTTTTAAGATTTTGCTTTTTGTTCCATTTTCCCTTGCTGATGCCCCAAAATCCGTCTTTTGGGCTGTTTGTACAACACCTGAAGCCCGTTCGGTAACAAACCGTTCGCTGCCGATCAGCGAGCTCTAGAGATGCAACCGGACCGGGCGCTCGTTCCCGTTCCGGTCGAGACTTATCAACCGGCCGATTGGACCGGTTCTGGTTAAACTGTTGGACCGGAACCGGTGGACTTGGTTTATGACTAGAAAATATGACCGAAAAAAGCATATTTATATCGAACAGAAAGTAAATAACATCACGAAATTCTTTTGCTATGAACTCTACTAGTATATATGTGAAAAGACCCACTGTTCTTATAGCACTTACTATTCCGAAAAAGTTCTTGAGAATGTGAGTACTGGTCGCTTAACGGTCAAAATGTTTTGAGAAATGGTCGGTCAACCGGCCGGTCCTCACATGTTCGCCGGTCACCGGTGATCGGCCGGTACCGGTCATGATTTTGTTGACCGGTTGCATCGCTGACGAGCTCTAGCTTGGGATTGTTGCATGCCTAGTCTGGACTAAAAACAAACGGGATGAAATTGCAGTTTTTGAAGGAAGTAACCAGTGAGAAAATTGACTAACTAAAGTACAATGTGTATTCTACCGGATCGCTATCAAAGGTTTAAAAAGAAATACTTTGTCATAGCTAAGAACATGCAAGCGAAGAAACACATGAAAGAAATCTCTGTAAAACAGAAAAAAATATTGAAGATTACCTCAAATGAAGGAACAGACATGATTAAGCCATAGCCACAGGTAGTCATGTAAAGAAAAGATTGAGTTAGAGAAACAACTTTATATTTGTTTTGTTCCAGGAAGTTACCTTTAGTTTCCATTATATCTTATTCACACTTTAACTAGAGCATACTTTACTAATGTGGTCTCTGTAGCAGATTGATTTACTTTGTTTTCAAGCAAAAATGCATTTCGTCACTGTGCAAATAAAGTAGACAGAAAGTTCCAGCCCTAATTCGAATGTATTTTTATAAGATTTATGGTACTTTGTCCTAATAGTTCCTCAGCAGAGCACTCACCGATATATCCGATGAGAAAAATATCAACTATCGCATATGCAATCTTCGCCCAAAGATATTCGGTCGCATCAAGTTTCCAGCTCGAACATGTTTGGTAGCAAACAGTTCGGTCACCGAACTATCGGATTGGTGCATACCTACCATTGATCTATGCTGGACGATTTCTTGACGTTGATAATAAGTATGTGAAGAAGGTGGCACGGTTACGGTTGATGAGGATGACAGTGTATACTATTCTGATATTTGATTATATCGGACCTGTACTTTAAATCCCTTTACGGAGAAAGTCCATAATAACTCTTTTTTGTAGACAGGCAATTTCTGTTGTTTTTGCTTATTTCCCAGACATATTTTTCTCTTTATAAACTAGACGTTTCAAAAATTCATCCTCACCTCAATTTAAACTTCAGACGATGAGCTTGTTTTCAACGGTAACTTATGCATTATTCAGATAAAAGTGAAACAAAGAGATAGTTTCAAATATGAATGCAACTCATTGTAACTCAAACGAAGGATGCTTCCAGTTAATGATGCTCTGAAGAGATGCTAAATGTAGAAAAGTTTTTCTTAGGTCCTTGCTAAAAACATTTGCTTCTCTGCCGTTAAAGTCGAGAGTATTGAGTGTCAATTATCACTCTTAATATTTTTCGTTTTTTTCTTCATCCTTAGGTCCTTTTAAACTAATTCTTTCACCAAAAGAACCGTCGTAAAATACTCTAGAAAAAATCTATGAATTGGTCTCTTATAAAATGGAAAAGTGAGTAAATATTAAATGAATAGCTGTTGTTTTTGTTACGTTATGTTTTGGAATTTCATAATGTTTTTCTTCTTATTTAGCATGAGAAACTTAATAAGAAAACGTGATTTAAATGACGTTTTCTTATTCAGTTTCTCATGCTAAATAAGAAGAAAAACATCACGAAGTTCCAAAACATAACGGGAATTCGAAAAATCAATGTTATTGGGAAAATAGCGGTTTTTGCAGGATAACCAAATTTCCGGTTTTCAAAAATTTCTCTTTACAGAAACACTGTCAAAGCAAAATAAAATACACATATGAGCGATTCGGGCTGCCATCGCACCATTCGCATACAACATGTAAAAACGCTATAACTTTTTTATTAGTGAATACATCTATTGTGAAATTTTCATTTGTTATTTATCTAAACTATCCTCACTATCACTAAAAAGGTAATTCAAAGTTACAAGTGGTTATTGAGTTATTAGCAACCCAATATGAATAGCATGGCGTTCGCGGAAATCTGGCGACCATAAAATTAACTTTTTATTGAAACGAAGCATTATCTCATCTTACGCTTAGTAAATACAAAAGCAGACATACAAAACTATTAAAGTAAATGAATAAATTCCCAATTCATCTACAGTTTCTAGGTGAATTCACACTAACAATGGCACCGCAGACTGAATAGTGCATTTTGTTCCGCGAGGATCAGTACGATGTAGCTCATTCCATACCTGACTTATTTATTACCCAATCGAAAATACGGAAAAGATAGCTGGCAGTTAGAGTAACATTTTGAGGAAAAAACAGATTAGTTTAATTTTGTCTTTCGTTAGAAAGGAGCAAAACATTTTTGAAAATAGTTATTTTAATACTAAAATATCCTGCGAGTTTTTGAAAAAGTTTTTTTGATAACTCTCAAATTGTCCAACCTTTGGCTTTCATCCTTTTAACGTTTTTTAACCTTATGGTAGTAAGCATTTTCCTAAAGTTTCAACTTTAGAGCTTCGTCGCTTTTGAGAAAAGTGCATTTTACTGCGAAAACGTTCTGCGAGCTAGAAGCAACAAAATCTTTATGAAAAATTCACTTAAAGTAGACTTATTATATACCATTCGATTTGCCTGTGTCGGGAAAGATAGCCATGCCTTTTATAGCACTTTGGGATATATTGATCGTTACTTTGGGACTAGAAAACGCTAAATAAAGCAATACGTCATATTTTTGGCTGCAATCAGGCCTAAATTTCTGTGAATGAGTTAAAACACATACTGTCAGATAGAACTGATCGAGATCCATGGAACAATGTACATCTGAAAACCATTTTGTTGGTTTGAATCGAAATGGACTCAGGGATTTTATGGGTTTACAGACTAAAATCGCGTTTCCAGAGAAAATGAGAGTCGAGAAAACTAATTTTTTATCACATTAAGCCAACTGAAATTTTCTAGAATGCATAGAAAAGTCCAAAACAAAGCTCATTTTTTCAAATTTGTTTAGACTAACGGTACAATAACAGCGCAAAACACTCATATTCTAGTTCAGCTCGGTGTGCTGTATCCAACCATGTATACATGTTTGAGAAGAAAATAATACTACTTCTTTGAATTGCATGTTCCTTAGATATTTTCCATACAGATGGATCAAGCAAAAAATAAAAAAATTAGATCTTTTTAAAAGAAGTCTTAGGTAATACATTCATTTTAACGAATAGTTTCGAACACAATAACTTTCTTCATTTAACACAGATATTGTTCTGAAATTTTCATTTTAGTAATTCTCTACAAAGAAAATGGCATCTTCTTCACCATCCAGCAGTAAATGTCAATCAAAAAAGCTCTGTAAAATGGCAGGAATTCTGCCATGTAAAGGCTGTCAGCAGAACTTCTGCCAAGTTCACATGAACGAACATCGACAAGAACTAGAAACCCATTTTCAACGTGTATTGAGTGATCGCGATTTACTTTATCAACAAATATATTCGGAAACTTCTCCGACTCATGCCCAAGCATTAGATTTTATCTCACAATGGGAAAGAGAAACTATTGAGAAGATAAAAACCATTTCTGATCAAGCTCGACGACAGGTGCAAGATCTTCTCGGTGAGAAGCGGCTTAGACTAAAAGAGAAATATGATCAATTGTCGGCTGAACTTCGTCAAAAAAAGAACGACAGTCACTTTTTTGAACAGGACATTGATAGATTAAGTAAAACACTTGAGGAAGTGAAACTTGACTGTGAACATAAGCACATGCCGACTACGGTGACGGTTGAAGCTAGAATAATCGATTTTGATAATGTTTTTTACATAACAAATGGCAACCAAAACCAGTTATTCATAGGTGGAACACTATTAGATAACAAACAACATCAATTCACA